GATGCTACTGCACAGAAGCAATGAGCTACTGCGCAGTAGCATCACATTATGGTTAGCATCCCCCAGTGCTACTGTGCAGTAGCAGTGAGCAGTTCATTGCTAGCATGCAGTAGTGTCTCATGTAGGTGTGACCACTGAGTATAATCAAAACCATATGCAACAAATAGTGCATGATGGATAAGGGAAGTTCTGCAAAAAATGATCTTCGCCATCCTCTGAATATGTCAGCTGATTTAGGCTCAGATGCACTCCTAGGAAATATGAGATCCAAAATGTAGGAAATATGAGATCCAAAATGTAAGGCCCTATCCTAAGAGGGTCCTAGGAATTATAGTTTAGGGCACTCCAGTGATTTCAACTCCTGCTTTTGGTAGGTGGCTGAGGGTTTTTTGGGTAGTACACAACCTGATAATGTCACCAGCTCAAATTCTACTTGAAGGAAATAGGAAGCTGAGGTAACCTGTGAAAAATTGCTTTAAATATCCCCTGAGGATGATATCATCAAGATTAACAGTCATATTCTGCAGAAGCAATGCCTCTGTAAAACAAATTGTGATATTCCTGTTTGGAGATTGTAGAGACATGGGTAACTACGGTCTTGGCCATAACAGACAGAAATGAATTAATTGGATGATTTAAAGTGAAAAAAATTGGCAACCTGGGAATACAAAAACAAAAGGTGACCAATGCAAAGAACCCTCAAAAGTGTAAAACTTCTTATCAGAGGGTAAGTAAGTGACTTTAGTAAAAAGAAAAACCTTCTTGTATTTTTGTCTTATAGACCTGTTCCCCCTCTCCTTTCCTTGGATTCTGTATTGGTGAGAATGTTATTAATCTTTTTAGTACCATTTGCACATTTGATAAATATAAAAACTGATTTTAAAACCCAGAAAGTTCCTGTAAAATGGAATACCCAACTTCCAGTCAGTTTATTTCCTCACATTTCTAAAATGTAACTCACTCTGACCATGTACATCATAAATTACAGATTGTAAAATAAACTGCAAAGGGCTCATTATAAATACATCCACTATAGCCCATCACCTGTTCAACAAGTACAGAGGGGGAGAAAATAGATGGGCTCTACAGCATGCCAAGAGGGTTTGCAAATAAATATGAGCATAATCTCACCCTAAATTAAAAGATTCAGAACTCAGTAGAATCTGAATAAAAAAAAGCCAGAAGGAGTAGAAGTAGATCCCATTTAAAAAGAACATCCCAATAAAAATATCCCTCAGCAGCCCAATGTAAAGCCTCTAGTTTTTCTTCAAAAAGGGGAAGCAAGTCAGTTATGGCTAGACAACTGCAGAAACTGACCTATTTTGGAAATCAAATTAGTCTGGAAGTGCTGTCCTGGGAATAGGAACATTTTTTGTGAATTTTTCCCACCATTCAGTGATTTAGTAAATCTTATCCTCGACACCTTTTATATAGCTCACAGAAGCTGAATTAAGTTTCTAGAGTTTGGACACCTTTGGGGGAAGCAACCTGCATACTAAATTTCAAGTTTCCATATGTAAAGATTTCCAAACCTATTACTCAACTACAGGCAATGTCATCAAGTTCATCACCACAGAAGCCAAACTAGTTTTTGGACTAAATTCATGCTCTGTATATAACTCCACTGAAGTCAATGGTATTATGGTAGAGATTAATCTCAGTCCAAATGGTGCCATTTGTGAGAATTTAAGTCAGTCAGCCCTCCAGTTTCTCTCCTAGGACCTACTATTGTTATAGCACATTTATAGTATGACTAGATTATAAGGCATAAACACCTTAATGGAGAGAAATACTAGGTGCTAAAAGGCCTGTTTACAGAATGGAGAAAAGTGTTACAAGAACTAATAGCTGGAAGCTAAAGAAAAAAGAATGTGAGAAATGAAGCACACATGTTTATTACGTAGGGTGATTGCCTGTTAAGAACAAGGGGAATGGTGGATTCTCACTGTTTCAGATCAATATAGGATGTCTTTCTGGAAGGTATGCTTTTTCCAACTTAAGGTATTGGATTCAGTGCAAAGAGAAATGAATAAAATTGTATGGTCTGTGTTTGCAGGTGGTCAGAATAGATGATTTAATCATCCTATCTGGCCTTAAAAATATGTGGATCTATGAATTATGCTTGTTTTTACTAATATATGGAACAGAGGCATTTAGGGTAGTAGATCCTTGTAGGGTCACGTGATAATTAAATATTTTGTAAAATTATGAATCCACTAAAATACCTAAAAACTTTGTACAGATAGATATCAATGTTCCTGTTGTAATGTACTCACCCTTTTTAGGATAATACACTTTTCTAGAAGTTTTTTGTTTTGTTTTGTTTTGTTTTTCTGTGAATTTCCAAGTGCATTTTTCAAGTCCTTTGTCACCTAAAAATATTCCTTAAACTAGTAGGATTGAGCCATGAACAATCACGAAAGAAATCCACTTTTTTCATTGAATGGAATTGAAAAGAGCCAAAAAAATCACTACATCATGATGTGTAGTAATTAGTACTGAATAAATAGTTTGCAGTTAATAATGCGTTTGTCTGATTCAACTTTTTCTCAGGGGATAGATTCTGCCACTTTCCTTTTAATGTAAATAACTGTGGCAGACATGCTTGCCATATCTTGGTGTGGTTTGGGTTTTTTTTCTAACTTGAGTCTCATAATTACGTGAAATTTCAGTTTTCATTAAAAACAACTACAGCACTTTTTAGCCTGTACTTGGTGTGTCTACATGAGATAGTAAAAGCACAGTAGACTAATTCTACTGTGCATTAGTGCATCGGAACAAAAATTACGGTAAAAGAACTGCCTGCAAATAATTTAAAAATCTCATGATTTTGGAGGAGCCTAATCTGTGATCTCTAACCTTTGAGTCTATCATTGTTGAATAAGATACTACTCACTAGAAGTAATATTGGCAGAATTTGAGCCAGAACATCTGTAAGAAAAACATAACAAAAGAAACAGTTATCTGCTTCATAAAGGTAATGGCTATTTGGTCAGATAAGGCAAATGCTACTCTGCTTAGATTTCATAGACGTTAGGGTTGGAAGGGACCTTGAAGATCATCAGGTCCAGCTCCCTGCCCCAGGGGCAGGAAGTCAGCTAGGGTCAAAGGATCCCAGCAAGATAAAAAGGATCCCAGCAAGATAATCTAATGCTTAGATGAGTATGCAAATACTTCTGGCACAAATACCCTCTCTGTGTACCTAACTGAGTTTCCACAAATAACGCGCACACGAGATTTTGAAATGCAATATGTGAAGAGATTGGAGTTGTTAGGAACACTCATGCACTAGAGTTTAACCAAGTGACTACTAGAGAAGTGATCAAAGAATCTGAACAGTGCCTCTTAGCAGAATTCAGCTAGTATTATTTTCAAAGTTTGCCTTTTGCTGTGGAATTGTCATGGCTCGCTGTTATCCCATTTGTGAAATAGCACAGTGAATTAACTAATGTCGAAACATCAGATAAGGATTATTACATTCCTTTGATAATTTGGATAATCAAGAAGGGCTATGCAACCTGGCTGTCCAGTTTTTATGTCACCCCTGTCCTATGCAAGGGAGGAGAGGAAGATAAAATGTCTGCCATGAAAATAAAAAGAACAATCTTCAGCCTTTCATACTGAACCAATTCACAGAGATTAATTTGGGGTTTGTAGACTGTTAGTCTTGTTCTAATATTTAAAATTTCATTCTGTCTGATCATGTTTGTGGCTTTCTGATCAGGTTCACAGAGCCTGTGTTCTAGGAATTCACATTTGTAGTGAACAAAACCATGGATGGGCTTTGTTTTAGCTTTAGTTTATGGGCTTTAGTTTATCCTTTGGTAATTAGGTTGAGAAAGGGGATTTACCAGATTAGCTTCTCCGGGGTTCTTATTTGATTGCTGGGATGTGCAAGTTGTATAAAGGGTTTATTTATTTATTTATTTATTAATAATTAAGTTTGTCAGGATTTTCCTTGAAGGATTTATAATCTAAAGGAGCAATACTGAGGGCTGTAACATATGCCAAAGGGCTATGCTTCTGCATCTGTTACACAGGGAGACAATGTTTGGTTTTGAAATAATTTCTGTGCTTCATGCATAATCTTATTAAATGAAGAGGATTGGAAGTTCAAAAGCCTGTGCTACTTTTCATAGTTTTGTATGCTTGGTCAAAAATGTTGTTAAACAAAAAGATTCCTTTAAAAGAGTGTATTCCATGGATAAAGGGACTGAGACAAATGAATCAAGATTTCCAAAGTTCTGTAACACATTTGTAAAAGAAGATTTTTAATTAGCTGATGGGTACGATCTGAGGTACAATATAAATACGTCTGTTTAAATCTCACAGTGCTTGGACGACAGTGGTTTCTGCTGCAAAATACAATAATATGTCATTCCGTGACATTTTGAAAACTGCTGGATGGAAAGCAGTCCCTGTGCTTTTGCCAGATTTTATTTTATGTAGGCCTATTTCTGATTTTGCTGACTATATATTAAACAATGTTGACAGATAAATATACTGATGTTTTACTTTCTTTGAGATGATAGAGTGGCATGCTTTAAGGTCTCACATGCCTGGTGACATAGATTAGTTAAACCATTAGTAAGTGTGTGTGCGTGTGTGCATTTCATTTTGATTTTCCAGAATCTCATCTTGCTTGTAGTGTCCTGTCCTTCCATCAGTTTTGGTAAAAAAAACAACAAAAACCAAAACCAAACAAACCCAAAAACTGAAAGACAGGGGACTTATTAGATAAAACAAAATATTGTTCATATCCTAGGTTACCATTTTCAATCTCACTTTGTGCTTAAGGAAAAGGTTTAGTAATTTTGGTCCTGATTTTTAATTTTGGTCCTGTCTATGTTGTTAAATCGAACTGCAGCACAATTGAAAGAGTTTACTTCATTACATTTTCATGCAAATTAAAGAATAATTTTACTTGAGTCTTGCTTCCAGGGATCACTGTGGAATATAATACAATTACTAGTAGTTCCTTTTTTTTTTTTTGGAAACAGGTAAAATATGAAAATCCCTTTTCCCACAGAAAGCCTTAAACAGAATACATACTACGGACTCAGAGCCAAATCCCATTGGAGGTTTTGGTAAGTTCGTTTTGCATTATATTCCATTATTCTTATTTTTGTATGTCTGTGCCCTTCTTGGTTCCTGCTGGGAAATGAAACAGACAAAACACTAGTGAAAGCTTTTCTTATGGTATATTTGGCACAAACAATAAGCACTAGAAATCTCACAGAAAAGTTTCTAGCCCAAGGTCATCCATCCAAATGGCTTAGATAAACATTTGAACTATTGTATCCTACATTTCTGGCTGTGTTAAGGGAATTTTGACGTTTCCTTCAAAGGAATCCAGATTGAACTCTAACATGTTTTTCCATCTGTTGCTATCATGCTACCTGTTTCTCTTCAGCCTTCTGGCACTTAAAAGACTGCACAACCATCTTTTCTTTGCTGGTACTATAAACCTAATTGTAATCTCACCATTTGTTTCACACTGGAGTTACTGAGTTACTGAACTGAACTGTTCTTGGAAATGAAATCAAAAGCAGAGCTGTGACATCAATAATGTAGGGCCAAACTGTTCCCTCCTATAGTCAGTCTTAAAGAAAGGTGTGAAAGGAGCTTGCAAGATCATCGGGTCCAGTCCTCTGCCCAGGAGCCCAAGAACTGACCAAAATGATTGTCTCCAATCTTAATAATTTTGTGAATAAATGAGCAATTCAAAATAAAGAAAAAATGATTTTTTCTAAAGTGGTATCAATTTTTAGAGACGTTTTCACTGAAGACAATCTTGTGAGAAAGAGAACTAAGGCCTTCAGCTCTGACCACCATCTGACATCCCTACAAGTTTCAAGCTTGGGTCATAAATCATCATAAAAGTATGCTCATAGGTTACAAAGGAATGTTAAATTATGCTTTTAGTATGTTACATGCATGACCTGTGTGTGTCATAAGCATTGTCAATAAGTACATTGGCAGAAGTGTTAGTTAAAAGATATCAAGATATTGAGCAGAGCTGGTAGAAATGTCTAAATTTCAGTTTTTCAGTAAAACAATGGGATGGACTGTAGCAAAAATGCTTTGTTTTTATTTATTTATTGTCAACCATTGATATTTAAGTAAAAATAGTGCTTAAGTATTTTCTAATAATGGTTAAGGTATTGAAGGCATGGAGCGTTTGTTTAATACCTTTTTCATATGTTTGTCATGCATTGGATGAAAATCCACTCTCAAATTCCACAGCCACTCCAAGAGCAACACTGTATATCTAACAAGACTACACAGATAACTTTATATTAAAAAAAGTAAGACTACTAGAAACTAACAAGCCCCCTCAGGAGCCAGATACTTCCTTCTTTCTCAAAAATGTTCCTTTGTCCCCAAAGGAGAAGTGGTTCCTTGCTCCAAGCATGTTATAGCCTTGTATAAGATATTCTATTATACAGCTGAAAACAACTATTCCTTTTCCTATATGTGTTTATTCAAGTAGAGAAAGACAAAAAGAAGACAATCCAAATTCTTACAAATGTAATTCCATTGAATGGATGGAAGTTGAATTAGTCATGAACCAGGGCTAAGAAAAAGCAGATAAAAAGATATATTTAGGTTTCCATGTTTGCATTGATAAAAGTATATGCAATAAATATTGAAAGCCAGATCATCAGGTGATAAAAATCAACATAGTCAATATGTATCCATGCACACAGGCTTCCCTTTCTGCATTTCACTCTTCTTTCACTCCACTAGACCAAGACCAGCAGCCCTTCTCTGACATTAATTCCCCACACCTTGCGCCCAGGTCTTTGGCCCTCTCTGTTTAGGCCAGCTGGGACCTCTACCCCTTAGTCTCTTCCACAAGCCTCCAGTGCTGCTTATCCCAGCTCAGCTATTAACCAGGACCCTGGCTGCAGTCCTACTGTCCAAAAGCACCTCTCCCCATGGCTCTCAGCGCTAGCCTCCCTGACCTGCTTGGGCCCCGGGGTTATATGCTTCAAGCCCCGCCCCTTCTGGTCAACTGACTCTCCAGATGGCCACCTGAGCCCTCACTGCAGCCTGGTCCCTTCTTAAAGTGATGGGCACACATTAAACACCCTGTCACAAGGGGTTTTACACAAAGTTTTTATTGCAGCTCAAGCCTCCCCTGAGAAACCTGGGAAAATAAATGCCAGGTGGGCGTTCCAAGGGGAACAACCTTCCCCACCCTGAGCACGATTCACCTATAATTGGGATTATGAAAGGGGAAAAGGAGACAAATACCCTACGGAAAAACCTCCTCTCTTGAGTATTAGCAGAAACCCCAGTTAAGTCTGTCTCAGCTACTGCCAGACCAGTCCAAGGAAGCTACCAGCTTGCCCAGTCTGTGGGAAGAGAGACTGGCTCAGAGCTGCCATCAGGTGGCAAGTGCTAGGTAGGGGGGACATGCCCCGAAGTTTGCCTCCACTCCGCTGCTGAGGATTGCTGTTCCTTGGCATCACTGAGGGCCACTGCTTCTCTTCAGGGTGCTTATATTACACCTGCACTTTCATAACCTGCCCTGCAAACACTTCTCTTAGAAATGGTGTGTAGCAGGTTTATACATGAACCCATTAAAGAGATTTGTGCTCACGAACACTTTCCTTTTGAAGATTTGATGCCCACAAGGCCAACCAGGGAGCAACAGCTGTGGGGAGTCTCCAGCTCTTCTCACACATTGCACCGCAGACCCATGCACAGCTCACAGGGCATGTTGCCCCCTTGGAGACTTTTGTGTAACTTGGCATTTGCAACACACGTGTAGCTCTAAACTGTGGACACAGAGGTCAGACCCACCTGGCCATTTACACTTTCATGATTTATCCACAAGCAGCAAAACTCAGCGCCAGTGGCCTCAGCCTCCCAACACACATAGGAATGAGGGTATGCAGAACAGAGATACACAACACGGCCCTAACACAACATGAGTGTGACAGTGTACCAGAAGCAGGGTCACTGGGGAATATGCTCCTGAATGTAGTGTGGCTTGGGTGCAGCCTGTGGCTCTGACAGTCCTTATTTAACATGCACCGAAAAGGAGAATGAATTCCCTGGCCCAGATGCAGCACACACATGCTGCAGTGAGGCATAAGAGCTTTTGTGCTGCTGATGTTGGTCTTTGTATGAACTTGCTCTCTCTCCTTATTGCTCTAATAGCCGCGATGGGAACTGGGCAAGGATCAGAAGTCCCTCGCTGTGCAGCTGTGCACATACTTTCTCTGCATACCCTATGATGCTGCTAAGTGGGAGGCTGACCAGCTGGTCTTGGGTCATTAACTATTCACATCACCCTGTGACCGCTGCAGCCTTGGGTTCCACAAGGATGGTCCCTGGGGTGTCCTTCCCCTTTGGCTCGAAGAGCAAGGAGGGATTGTTAATAGCTGGCTGCAACCCTAAGGTCACCCTCCGAGGTGGAGACAAGTTACAAGGAGCTTTTCACTGTCAGGGGCATGAAGGGGTTAAAAGTCTGAGCGCAGATGGGATGATATCAGCTGGGGAGGAGACTCAGGCAAGAGCAAAGCAAGAGCAAACCCTGCTGCAGAACCATGGCTGTCTTCATGGGAGGGGATGTCTATATGGCTGAGTTCAATCCCATAGCGTACCTGCAACACTTCAGGTTTGAAGAAGGCACCCTATGGTACAAGCTCCTCAGATTCATCCTGGAACACTACAAGACATCCTTCACTTCTGGTAGGTCCTTCCCAAAACCCTACGGACTTTGTCTTCTCTTGACTGGACAGTGGCACAACAAGCCAGGCACCCAGAAAGGGACTCTTTGGATGGGGTTGGGGAGTTGCACTGTCTCTGCAACATGCTTGTGGCCTGCGGTTGCTAGAGACAAGTGTGTCGGCCATGTGACAAACACTTGTGTGACAAGTTCACCAAGTTTGTCCTGCTGCCCACAAGCATTTGTGCGAGTACCTTCCCAAGGGCTTTCCAGCTGGAAAGAATGGCAAAAATGCCAACTGTTGATATTTAGCCTCTGAACAGGGTGCAGGGCATTGGAGAACTTCTCCCACCCTCCCCTCATACAGTGCCTGCAAAGAATCGGGCACTGGACTTTTCTCAGGAAAACAATGCCCCGCATCCACACCACCAACCTCCTGTTGGACTCTGGAGCAGTTGTGTCAGTTCTCTGTGGCCCCCTGGTCCTCATCTCTTAAGCATGGGGTGATTTTGTGAACTCCTAGCTGCCCAAAGTGCTGGGTGATCTGTGAGCAGAGAGGAGAGATTATTCAGTGCCCTCGCTGCCCTGGAGCAGATTGTTATATAGCAGATTCTCCCTTCCCTTTAGTCTCTCATGAAGCCATCCCCTGAACTAAAGGGTTTTGAAGGGATCTGATATGGTGGGATATGCCTGTGGGATTGCAAGTGCCAGCTCTGTCCAGACACATGCCACTGATTTATTATTATCAAGTGTTGGGAGCCCAGAGGCAGGTAGGCTTACCCTACAAATTGGCCTTTTTCATAGCATTTGCAAAGGGGGTTGCAAGAGTCACGGTGCAGCAATGGGACTGGAGGCACTTGGCTTTGTGAAAGAACTGAAGTTGAATTAAAATACTTCCTTAGGTGGAAAGAAATCATGTTTTTGGGTATTGTTCATGAACAGAAAGGGGCTGAGTACAGGGGGAGCAGGGAAGAGAAACTGCTAAAACTCAAGCATTGCAATGCCTCGTTTTGGCTCTTTATCCATTCATTTCTGCAGGCCCTGGAAGGGAAGGAGCACCAGTAAAATAGAGCAAGAATCAGGAAAGGTTGCAGCTTTAGGGGGGTTGTGTAATGTATCCTGTGCCTGTGCTGAAGGGCATACAGCATGCATGAGAGGTGATCATCTTAAACTATTCTTTACCCCCTCCAGGTGCTGTGAAAGGCCACACCTTGATTGATATTTGCAATGGACCCACCATTTACCAGCTGCTTTCTGCCTGCGAATTCTTTAAGGAGATCATGGCTTCAGATTATACAGACCAGAGTTGCCAGGAGATGCTGAAGTGGCTGAAGAATGAGGCTGGAGCATTTGACTGGACTCCAGGGGTGCAGCATGTGTCAGCTGGAGGGAGACAGATACCTGACTGCTACCATCTAAATTCCATAGGTTTAAGCCTGCCCATGATCTGTATTCATCACTTCTGGCAACCAGCTGGGATGTGCAGCCTCAGCAGGGAAAAATACAAGTAGACATTTGGGAGGAAAGAAAAGGTGCAGAGAAGGGATGGTTTTGAAAGCTGGTGTTGGAGCCTGTAGGGTCTTAGAGAGCCATCCACAGGGACCAGCAGGCCTTTTCTGACTGCAGACAGGGGCAGAAGGGATCCTTAAAGAAAATTCCCCTAGTGGAAGTGAATTTTGCTACAAAATGAAACTTGGGGCAACTTCCACTGAATGGTCCATAGCACAGCAGGCTAATTCTGACAGAGAAACTACCCAAATGCAGGCACTGGTGGCAAAATGGCTTTCAAAGATCCCCCATTTGTTAAACATTTCTCCAAGGGAATGGAAATTAGAGACACAAAACCCACATTCCCACTTCTCAGACCTGTAACCTGGGGGAGGCATTTAAAACACACCAAAACAGATAACCTCTTGCTTTCCTTTTTCTCTTTCCTCTTCTCTCTTTGGGACCTAGTGGGCTGAGAAAGATGGGAAGATACATAGAGCCATCAAATGCATCCTAAAATGTGATGTCCACAAAAGCAACCCCCTGGATCCAGTTGTCCTGCCTCCAGCTAACTGCCTGGTCACATCGCCGTGCTTGGAAGCTGCCTGCAAAGAACACAGCTCCTACTGTGCTGCTCCAAGGAACGTCAGCTCTCTGCAGAACCCAGGGGGGCACTTGGTGCAAAGTTGAGATTTGGGCTCCAGTTTCTACATGGTTGGTCCCCAAAAGTTCTCCTGTTTCGTCCTGACAGAGGAATTTTGAGGGGGGCTCTCAGTGCAACTGGCTTCACCATTGAGAAGGCTGAGGTTCTCTCCAGGGCTTATGTGGCCATGCATGACATCTATGATTTCTCTGGGATGTACTTCATTGTCACCCGCAAAAATTAAAGTGATTAAATCCCTTGGAGAATATGGGGAAAATTGTCCCCAGTGGGGAAAAAAGAATCATATGAAGGCTTTGTTCTCTTGCTGGTCATGCCTCTTTTCTCCTTTACTTGTTGTGAAGTCCCCATGATGACAGGGAAACATTTTATGTCCCTCATTTGGAATGAAGATGTTTACTCCCATAGAGGGCCAGTTCAAGGCAATAACTAGCAGACCCTAATTGGTATCTTGGCCTTGATCTGTTCTCATTCCTTGGAATGGGATTGATTGGAATTGATGGACTTTGGAATTTATGAGCAGAAAAGTCAAGATGTCACGTAGCCTGAGTGGGAACTATAGGGGTTTTCACCATCTTCTGTAGCAGGAGACATAGTCCTTTTCCTTGGTTGGTATTTTAACAACCACTTCTTGTCCTTGCAGCAGCAGGACATTGCCAGTGTCCCTGTCCTCCTGCTTTACCAGGTTAGGGTATTCTTGGTGCTTTGAGGCTATGAGCCAAGTAGTAGTGCACTAGAGGTGCTTGTCCAGCTTTAAGAATAGGCTAGGCCAGTGCTTTCTGGGGTGCTTTATATGATCCTACCTTGAGCAGAGGGTTGGATTAAATGACCTCCTGAGGTCCCTTGCAGCTCTGCTTTTCCATGATTTTCCGAGTAAATAGCTTGTGCTGGCTTGTCTTTGGGCCACAGGGCAGCTGCTTCATTTATCTGGTGACATCTCCAGACAACAGCCCTGTTGAAATGGATGGGACTACTTGAGTGAGTAAATACTCAGCTGTGTGGATAAGAGCTGGCAGGTTCTTTGTGTAGATGTGATATCTTTTATTAGACCAACTAAGTTGTTGGAAAAAATTGTTCTTTACAAGTTTTCAGGCACAAACACCCTTCTTCAGGCAAGGGAAACTCTGGATACTCTTCCCATTTCAACAGTGGCACCCAATACTGAGACATACTTTCCAGGCTACGCTGCACTGCTGAAAGACAAGTGCGGGGGCATAGTAGCAACTTAGTCACTGCAGCAACAAAACAAAAAAAAATTCCTTTGCAGTAGATGTTCCAGTAGAAAGATACTGATAAGCATACCTTAAATTTTGTGTGATTCTTAAATGCTTTCTGCTCACCCACTCCTTTGGCTTTGGCATTTTCTGAAGCAAATGTCCAGGAAGCCACATAGCAAGAGTAATGCTGTTCTCTGTCATGGCGGTTGTTCTTCTTCTTGCTCTCCATGTTCTTGGCACTTCCAGGTAACTCAATGGATTCTGCTCAAGTGTTTGTCAAATCTCATGTTACTTCTTGAAATTACCTGTGGTGCGGCATGAAAAATGGAATCTTTTTTCCCCCATAAAAAAGACAGTTTTATTAAATATTCCCAGTGATGAACATGAGAGACTGGCTCTACTAGACCTAAACCAATGTATTACGTGTGGCTTTCCACTGTTTCCAATAAATACTGAATTGTTTTCTGACTGTACTGTATCATCCTTTTCCTTGGGTTTACAAATTCCCTGAAAATGTGTATCATCCATGTCCTTTCCGACCATATTGTCAGTACACCACATTTCAGAAGGGATATACATTTTTAACAGATTAGGGGTTTGAGACATAACAAGCTTGGATAGTCCCAAGATGTAACACTCCTCCATTTCTCACCCAGTGCCTCAGTTTACTCATGCAAGGTGCTGGGGGTAGGGTTGTGCTCAGACTAGAGGTCTTGTTTACCGGAGCTGGCTGGAAGTAAACTGCACGTTCACTGCAGATGTAACTGGAGGTTTGACCAACTTAGATATTCAACAGCTACTTACAAAAGCTTTGAACCCCATCCCCTGCACAGAAGTCCTGGAACCCACTTTCTTTATCTTCCTAGAAGTCTCTATGGTGATTCTCGGTTGTGTCAATGGAAAAAGAGGGCTGATAATGAGGGGTCTTCAGTGGAGACCGTTCATCTCGTGCTCACCAAATTAAAATGATTTAGGGCTGAGATACTACAAAGACATCAGTCCTTGCAGCTATGACTTCATGTGGGTGAGATAGACAGATGCTGTGATGCTGAGAAGATTTCCTTTGGCTCCAATTGTGAGGCTCAGTGTTGCCAAAGTATTTTTCCATCCTCTGTGGGAAGATGCTGCAAGAGGACGCAGGTCACACGCTTTCCATGAAGATGCATGCTTTATTCTGGCTGCTGTAGTAGTGTAGCATGCACCACATGGGCTGATTAGGCTATTTCATTGCTTAAAATACATTCTCCAGACATAGTGTGTATGATGACCTACATGCTCCTGGGACTGAATTAGAAATGATCTTTCCTGTGCTCCACTGATGGTCTGCCATGCCACATCCTTTTTGGGGCCAGGAAGGAATTTTCCCCCATGGTCAGATTGGTATGGATTGTAGGGGTTTTGCCTATCTCTATAGTGGGGGATGTGGTCCCTACCCAGGACCTCTTAACTGTATAGTGGCAACATCTAATAGAAGCAGGACACTGGTTGCTGTGTTTCCCCTGCTTTACTTGTGGCAGGTTAGGATGCTAGGTCTATGTTGCATCAGGGTTGAGGGTAGTCTTAGGTAGAGTTTAGATTATGGTTGTATGGGATGGTTTGGATAGGAATGATCCTGCCTCAGGCAGCGAGTTGGACTACATGGCCTCTGGAGGTCCCTTCAGCCCCACTACTTTATGACTCTTTGGGATATGATTCTTCATGCTTGTGTCCTCAAGCTTGTTATGGAAGGAGTGTGGATTGAACTTCCTTCCGGCATATTGCTATTAACTTCTTGCAGAGCTCCAACAGCTGCATCAGTCTGCAGTTCAAGCAGTTGTTTAAAATCAAATGTGACAGGAACATGAGCACTGGGGCTGTGTGAAGCTTCACTGGCTCTTTCATTTTGATGCTGTTTCAACTCATTTTGAGTTCGAAACAGTGAAATCGAAATGAAATTTAGGGCTTTGAAACAGCTTTGAAACGAAACAAGGCCAGTCAAAACAGTTCAAAATTTTCAAAATGTTTTGAGTTTTGAAGCAGCAGCCAGGTGGTGGGAGGCAGGGGAGAGCCAGTGCTGTGCTTCAAGCAACTCTGCAGCCCCACGTGACTCAGCATGGTGGGGAGCGCAGCCCTGGCTCTCCCTGCCTTCTGCCACCGGGCTGTGCCCCATGGGGCTGGCGGAGCCGATAGGAGCGCAGCCAGCTCTGCCCACCTCCTGACGCCGGGCTGTGCTCTGATCGACTCCACCACCCCATGGAGCCCAGCCTGGTGGCGGAAGGCAGGGAGAGCCAGGGCTGCACTCCGCCTCCCGCCACTGGACTGAGTCCCACGGAGCTGCGATCCACTGGGAGCTGAGCCCGGTGGGGGGAAATGCCTCCCATCGCTGGGCTCCGTTCCCAGTGCTGGGAAACTCAGCCTGGCTGCATCTCCCCAATATGGGTTGTGTTTCTCAGCACTGGGAATGGAGCCTGGCTGGGGGAAGTGCCTCCCAGCGCTGCGAACTGCTGGGAACTGAACCTGGTGGTGGAAGGCGCTTCCCCCAGCCCTGCTTAGTTGCTCAGCACTGGGTCCCAGGCAGCAGGAGCAGCCTCCTGTCATCTGGCAGGCAGATCAAGGGCCCACCCACACCCCTGGGAGGGCTGCAGGGACTCTGCCAAACTCCTCCCAGGGGTACGGCCCCTGATTTGCCTGCTGGATCACAGGACGCTGCTCCTGCTCCCTGGATCCTGCCTGTCAGCAGCTTGAGGTGCAGTTTCCTAGAAACTCCTGCACCTGTCTCCTTGAAACTTGGCAGGCCAAGTTCATGCCCTCAGAAGGGGCTATCAACCCTGAAAGTTTATTCCAAATGAGGGATGAAATGACAAAGCTACAGGCTGTTTTGTGCTTCCTCATTATACCCTATGGGTGAAACAATGAAACAGCGTTGAAACAGTGAAACCATTTCAAAGAAACAGAATGGAGACGAAGTCAAAGTTGGACGCTGCCGTTTCGCACTGCCCCAGTCCCCAGGCAGCCCCCCACAGGCTGGATCTCTATCAGCCTACAAGGGAAAAGACAGTTTCCCATTTTTTTCTCCTTTAAAGGAGACTCCGTTTTTAAAGTTTGTTCATGACCTAGTCATATATTCTTGCGACCCACTTTTGGATCATGACCCACAGGTTAAGAAATGCTGGTCTAGTGTCCTAGACAGATAACTTCTATAGGATAGAGACTAGTGCTACTTCTGGCTTTGTCTGATGCAGACCAACTGATTCTCAGATGTGTGGCCAGGCTACCTAGATGTCCCATTTTTTGCTGAGATACTCCCGTTGCAGCTTTTCTACTTTGATAAATAATTAAACACTCTCTTGAGAAACCTAGTTCATGTCACTGCTTTTCACCCATATCGCTGGTGAGTGCTCTAGCTGATGGCTATCCTAGCTCCTTTCTTGTACTTATTTGTTATGAAAAATCTATGAAAGATGCTGTTTTCATCTCACTACAAAATGGGAGAATTAGTGAAACTTTGAAACATGCTGTTCAGCTATAAATATTATAGATGTACTGTGGGCTGTTGCAAAACTTTTGCATTATGTCTGTCTTTCATTAAAAACTAATTTTTATGTGGGTTTTTTCCCCCAAAGCCTATCTATCTTATAGGGAAATTTTAATATATATTTTCCATTTAAAAAAGCCCACATATGAAATACTGTTGTTTAGTCTGAGGTACAATTGATAAATGGGACTTATAATTTTGGTTGCCTTGTGACAGCATCTCTTTCCATGGAGTGGTGTTGCAACCAAACCTCATCTCCCATGATACACCATCTCCCTTCACCAAAAATGGGAAGGATTTACTCAGTGTAGCATGAGAGGGAGCTGACTTAGAAGAAAACAGGAATGTGAAGTGTGAGAATTATAACTACAGTGAAACATCACAGCAAGTTAATCCAAATATATGGAGTTTTGACTAAATACATGGGTTTGATGTTATGCCAGAAGCGGTTTTTTTCTGAGGATCTCTCTAGATGTTTCTGTTGTGTTTTATTTTAGCATATGAAGCTGCCTCAAAAATAGTTGTAACACGATTTTAAGATTTCATCTTCTCTTTTGCTGTTAGTGCTGTCTTATTCCCAAAAGTTTGCATTTTGCTGCAAGCAGTTCAGGACCTTGTACACAAGACAACTGAACACATTCCTTGCCTGGAAAGGGAAGGATCAATAGCTAAACTTCTAATTTATGCATTTTTTAACTCATGGTATGTTCAGTTAAAAACTGATGATGTACGTTCACTGTAGCACCAAAAGGTTAAAAGAATAATCATATTCTTAAAGGTAGCAGATCCCAAAGAGATACAAACATTTTCTAGCTATACTTAACATGATTTAAATTAATGTAAATTATGTAAATGTAAATTTAAATTATGCCTAACCTTTCCTTAAAGAAACTTGCCATAAAATGTTTGATTCCTTAAATTGGCAGAAAAAAAAGCCTCTATCACAACTTTGGCTGGGAGGTAGGGCTTGGGACAGGGCTGCAACTTACTGCTTTATTCTGAGCTCTTGTCCTCTGCTGAGACAAGTCACTTTACATCTGTTCCCCCTTCCCACATGTACCTGTTTTGTCTACTTAGACCAGTGGTGCTCAAACTTTTGGCCCTGCAGGATGGATGTGTGGTGCAGGACCCAATCCTGGCATGTGGGCCCTGATTCAGCCAGCAGACTCAGACACCCCTGCCCAACCCCATGATACTCTTATCAGCCTTGTGCTGCCCAGTCATCTCCGTACCACCCCTACCACCTCAATCAGTCCCCCACCGCCCCCTGTGATCCTACTCAGCCCCGTGCCACCCCATCCCACCCAGATCTTCCCCGTGTGCCCAATCTAGTATACAGAGGAGTAATTACCTGACATCACTCCCCCACTGCCAATGTTTCGGATTTAGACGGTAACACCCACACACATTTGGGTTGTATAATGTGTTTTCTTGAGTGTGTTCTTTTTTATATGGACAAGATGGCAAGCTGGGGCTGGTGTCCAGAGACAATATGTAAAACTCTCTAGCCACATGGGCCAGCGGAAGCAGAGGATTCTTTAGGTTGATTGGTTGGGAGAGGAACGGATGTGTGGCACTCCCGGACTGGACAAGGCCGGGGTCATGTCATGCTGGGGGATATAAGGGGAGCTGGGCTGGGGGAGAAGAAGCTGCAGGGGCTGCTGAAGAGTGAATTGTCCCCTTAGAGAGAAGGAGTCACCATATGTCCAGGTTGTCTTGATTAATATTTTTTGGCCCCCTGTCCTCCTGTTTTTAAAATCCAAGCAAATGTTTGGGTTTTTGCTATGCCTCTGGCTTTCCCCAGGCACATTTCCTGTGCTTTTCCCAGACATTTCCAGCTTGGTTGCTTGGAGCTGAGGGCAGGGTGATTGGCTGTCGGGAAATCGCATGCTCTGCGTGTGGACCCCGGCAGGTAAGAGAGACACATACAG